CAAACAATTGAAAAAAACCCTAATTCACAAGTAACTATACGTTGTTTAACACAAGGTTGATTGTTTCGTTTTTGCATTTTATTTATCTCGGGCGATGGAAATAACCTGGCTCACTTCTCTTTTTTCATAACTGTCTCATTTGTTTGCAGCCAGTTGTCAGTGAGATTCATGTACCCCAACACAGTGGAGCGCTATCAGCACGACAAACACCGAAGGGAAACAGTGACAATAAAAAACAATCTCAAGGGCATCACCTATCTTGTTTGTTCTGTGTTTGTATTTCCCTTAGTGCAAACAAAAACAGTCAAAGCCTTGGTAGTACTGGTGGATTTTGTAGCGCTTTATTTTCTGGGAAAGAACCCTTCATACCTGGCGCCTTTAAAAAGCTGTTTTATGGCCCTAGGTGAGGATGAAGGGTGAAAAGGAGCCCCACGTACCTTTGTTCTGCAAGACAAGCTCAATGTACTAGGTCAGTAAAATGCCTGATTAATAATGCAATGTCATAAACATTAATGACAAAAGCTCATTGTTGTGGTGGTAATTATGTAACTGTGATGCAACTCTGTGACCAAAGACATTCAAACAGTCTGAAATATATTTCTGGATACTATTGTGTTGCCTCAGTAAGAATATTCTAGTTTTAAAAGTCAAGAATGTTTTTGCTATAATTGCGGCCGCAGCCACAGTTTTTTTCAAATTCAAAGACTCTTTGAAGTTATATTAGAAATATTTATGCTTATTTTTCCCCTCCTAAGATAACGCTTTTGTCTTTAAAGCAAGCCTACAAACATTTTAGTTGATTATGTCATCTCCTTTACTTCAAATGTGACTATACTGCCTGGAATTTGGCACCTTCCATTTTGTGTTTTTCTAGGCCAGATTCACACTGATGTTACCAGGAGCAACTCTATTGACTTCTGCAAGGTTTTACTCAATTACACCGTGTAAACGACAGGACACTGAAAATAGCCCAAGAAACCAGATTTTCAAAATAATCAACTGGTGTTTTCTGAAAGAAAAAAAAGAAATGGAAAAATACAGCTATCTTGCAAGCAGCACCCCTATCCTATGATGGTAAAACAGGCTAACTGTAACTGTGGAGAGTGATATAGGCAGAAAGGATTGCTTTCGTTTCCCTATTTGTTTTTATTTCCTCATGTGAAGAAAGTTTCTATTGTTGTCTGTTTTGAAACTGATAGAAAATGCTGAGTGAAATGACTAAAAGCTGAATTGCTGGAAATATCTATGAGATGAGTTCTGGAAGTCTTACATATTCCCATCCGTAGACCATGCCACCCTTAGTGAGGGAGCACAGGACTACTGCAATGGAAAAACTTAGCAGTTGTGTCCTCCCAGACTCTCCCTTTTCTTGGGAACTCAGAGGAACATCCTTGTGGAGACACTTTGGGAAGTGTCTCTCCACTTTGCTTGTTTTCCTACCCTCCTTACGTACAAGCCAGCCCCATAATTACACCTCTGCTGACCACGGATGTTTCTGAGAAATGATTCCTCACTCAGGATATCCAAAACACCAGAGGGCAGCAGAAGTGTTAAAACAGGCATTGCAAAAGCATCGCCTTTCCTTGCACTAGCGTCTCTAGGATGGTAAAATGGGCTCATATAAGAGCTTCATAGTGCCTAGACAGTATCGATTCATAGCGAAAGTGGAAGAAAAACAACTTAATTATGATGCTACCAAAATTGTGCAACTTCTGAGCAGCACTGATGGAAACTGTCGTGACCCTTTTGCATGAAAATAGAAGTTAAATACTGAAAGGCTGCTGAGAACGATGCAGGAGGTCTTTATTTCTCAATGAATCATACATACATCAGCATGATTACTCTTGAAAACCATGTGTACCCCATTCCACTGCAGAAGCTCTATGTACCCCATCCTCTGGGCTAGGGACTGCAGATCTGCTTAAATACCTTCCACAGACAGGAACAATTCCCCGTTTTTCTTGCCTCTTTCATCTAATGCAGATAATTTAAATCCTGGATTCTCTTCAGTGTAACCCTCTGATGCAGTATTACAGTCTCCAGGCCGTCCCAAGGCACAGGTGACTGCTGCTTCTTAGAGCACCAAATCCCCGGTCACTTCTTCCCATCTGGGAAGAAAAAAATAATAAGTCTTTTAAAAAGAAATAAAAAATGTTACTTTCCCACCTGAGGCTGTCCTTCTTGTGTGTTCTTTCTAAAAAGACTGGTTCTGTTTGCCAGACTAAAACACTTAATCAATTTGAAATGAAAACAGCAACTATAATTAAAGGGAGGAAAATCCCACCACAGCAGAGGAACCATTATTAAGGTAATTTTTTCTTTATAACTCCTGGGGCACTGTTCACATGCAGTTGCTACTATATATGCTGTTTGTGCGTCACCTCCTCTTCACGAGCTCCATGGAGAATACACTGTTAGCTTAATAATAATAAGTCAGCTTTTCATGTGAGTTATACCAAGCACCATGTAAGTGCTAATTGAATGTTGTAATAGCCTGTTCTATGCTATTCCCCCCTCCCGCAGAATGGCACAGCAGCCCCATGACCTGCCTGGGTAATAATACTGCCTTCACATTAGCAGCTCCTTCCTCACGCTGCTGGACAACAGCTCTGCAAGCCACAGGTCTCTCCCTCCATTTCAAGCCCTGCAGGTGCTCAGATGTTACGTCTCCATGCTTCTAGATGAAGGAGCCTGCAGCACAACTGGCCTCTCAAAGGGCTAGCACCCAGGTAACTTTAGGTAATGAAAGCAATATAGAATCATAGAATCATAAATGTTGGAAACCACCATGCCTGCTAACCATGTCCCTCAATGCCACATCCACACGGTTCTTGAACACCTCTAGGGATGGTGACTCTACACCTCCCTGGGCAGCCTGTGCCACTGCCTCATCACTCCTTTTGAGAAGAAATTATTCCTAATATCCAATCTTAAACTTCCCTTGGTGCAATCTAAGGCCATTCCCTCTCATCCTATCACTGTTACCTGGGAGGAAAGGCCATCTCCCACCTCGCCACAGCCTCCTTTCAGGTGGCTGTAGAGAGCAATAAGGTCTCCCCTGAGCTTCCTGTTCTCCAGACTGAACAATCCCAGTTCCCTCAGCTGCTCCCCATCAGACTTGTGCTTCCAGATCCCTCACTGCTTCATTGCCCTTCTCTGGACACAGTGCATGGCCTCTATGTCATTCTTGTAGTGAGGGGCCCAAAACTGAAAACAGTACTTCAGGTGCTTCCTCACTGGTGCTGCATATATATCCATAATTCATTAGATAAGAGAAGCAGACAAAATCCTGCTTGCTTCACTAAAACATCCTGCTGGATCTCTCCCATGGATGTTTATGACACGCAGCTCATGTATCACATAATTTGGTTTAGATAAACCACCACATTTTTCTCATTGGATTCTCATAGTGCAAGTTAAAAACAAAACAAAACCAAACCAATAAACCCATAAATAAAACCTGACAATACGTTTATTTTTGTCCCCCAGGTGGGTCCCTCCTGAGCTCTCTATACATCACTCATGGAGTGGAAAGCCATCAGCTCTCCATCTCTCATCATGAGTCTCCAGAAAATCATCAGCTAGAGGTGAAAACCATCATGTTGATTGCAGCCATGCCGTGCATCTCTTTATTTCAAGAAGCCTGACAGATCCAGTTGCCTCTGGATAGAAGACGGCATACCAGTCCTGAATGCCATTGAGGGTGGTGATCAGACAAAGACTTCAGACTAAAACAAACTATATCCTGGCCAGAAGACCATAGAATTATAGAGTCACTAAGGTTAGAAAAGACCTCTAAGATTATCTAGTCTAACTGCCAACCTGTCACCACTGTGCCTGCTCATAGTCATAGAATCATTAAGGTCAGAAAAGACCTCCAAGCTCATCAAGTCCAAGTGGCATTGGGAACCCCTAGTGAATGCACCAGGATGGAGTGCAAAGACGGCATAGTTCAGTCACCAGCTGGAACACTACTTCTCTAAGAACAGCCTAGGCTGATTCTAACAAAGATTAAGTTGAATAACAGGTGTTATCAACGTCTGTTGATCAGGCAGGCACCACTCAAGGCTTATTTTCAGGGTGAAGCTGGAATTTGAGCTCAGATGCACAAAGTTTGGTCACCGTGTGTGTGCAGAGAGAACATCTACTTGCTCAAACAAAGTGCATCTGCCACTCAGTGCCTGGCAATGGACCTTGAGGGGAATGTCTTTGGATGTCCGGTTTTAACCTTGAACAGCCTCAGCGTGCAGAAGAAATCACTTCCCAAGTTTTGTTCCTAGATAACAGCCCTGCAGGTGTATCAGACCACAGAATCATTACAGCTGGGAAGATCCTGAAGACCATCCAGTCCAACTGTCAGCCCGTGCTTGTGAGTGCTCTAAGCCGCGTCACTCAGTGCCACATCTACCCTCTTCCTGAAAGCCACCAGGGACGGCGACTCCGCCACCTCCCCTGAGCAGACCGTGCGGATAATCCGCCAGAGGGTTGTTTCATTTCATCTTCCGTGCTGCTGCCCAGCCGGGGGACCCACATTTTTCCCAGAGAACCGCGGACGGCAGTCCTGTGAGTCCCGGCCGTCAGACGGGGCGCCGCCTCCGCCGGGCTCCGGGCACGGCGTCGCGGGCGCGGAGGGGAGGCGCCGAGGGGAGGCGGTTAACGGCTGCCGAGGCGCGCGCCGGCAGGGGGCGACCCCGGCGGGAGACGGGAGGGCGTCACGTGACCGCAGAGAGTCGCCGTCTCCCCCCCCCCCCCCCTCGGGCGGGGACGGAGCGGAGGGTGCGGGAGACCCAGGTGCCCCCTCCCTCCCTCCCTCCGCCCTGACGTCACCGCCCCCCCGTCGCCGGGGCGACGGCTCCATCAGCGCGCGCGTCAGCGCCGCCCGTTCCTTGGCAACGGCGCGGTGTCTCGCTCTCCTTCAGCCTCGCGCCTGGGCGCGCGTCTCTCTGGCGTCAAAGTGACGTCAATGGGCCCCGCTCTCGGCTTTCGGCGGTGGGCGGGGCCGCGCGCGGCGGAGAGGGGCGGAGGGGCGGGGGGACATCCCGCGTGCTCCCGCCCGCCCGCCCCCCGGCGCACGCTCCCTCCCTCCGTCTCTCCTTCCCTCCGTCCCTCCCTCTCTCCTCCACTCACTCACTCAATCACTCGCACCCCGGCACCGCGGCGGCGGCAGAGAGCCCGCCAGGTAGAGGGGAGAGGCGGTTTGCGGAGCGGCCGCCCGAGGCCGAAGGGGAAGCGCTGGGCTCCGGGGGATCCGACGAGCCGCGCCGCGCCGTCCCCGTGCGAGCTGCGAGCGCCCGGGGGCAGCGCCGATGCTGCCGCCGCCGTGGTGAGTCGCGGCGCGGTGCCCTATCGCCCGCCGCCCGCCTGAACCATGGTGATCATGTCAGAGTACGCCTCAGTGCCGGCTCCCAGCGCAGCCCAACCCCGGCCCCTGCGGGTCGGCTTCTACGATATCGAGAGGACCCTGGGGAAAGGCAACTTCGCCGTGGTGAAGCTGGCCCGCCACAGGGTGACCAAGACGCAGGTGGGTACGGGGCCGAGCTGGAGGGTTTCTCTCTGCTTGACCTACAGACGTAGCGTAGAATTAAAGCGGAGCCCGCCGTTCGCAGAGCGCTTCCCTCTCTGCGAGCCCCAGCCGTGGGAACTTTCGCACCCCCTGAAGTCTTTGCACGTGTCGGGAGGGACCCACGAGGATGTCGGAGCCCCCGTTGGCTCCCCGCGGGACCAACCCGTCCCGTTGCTTCGCTCGAAGAACAAAGAGCTCGCCGTGTTCGTTTGCAGAGCGTTTCCCCGCGGCCGTGCGGCAGCGGTGTAGCGCTGCGTGTCCCAATCGCCCTCTCCCTTACGAGAACGTGGTTTTTTTGCTGGATTAAAAGATTTACCGAATTCCATCCAGCGCTGCCCTTCCGTAGTTCCGTTCGTTGTGTTGCTGTGGAGCAGCTCGAGAAAACGCCATCAGCTTTGGCCACACCGTATCTAAAGTCCACCTTACGTGTGTTCTGTGAGTTTGTGCGTGGTTTTGCGTGTGGTGTCTTGGTGTCGTGCTCTTCCTCTCCCCCATCATAATAAGCGTACCTTCTTTGTAATGCCGGCGGTTTGATGTGATTGTTATTATTTTTTTTAACCTGCAGGTCGCGATAAAAATAATAGACAAAACAAGGTTAGACCCCAGCAATCTGGAGAAGATTTATAGAGAAGTGCAGATAATGAAGCTTTTAAATCACCCCCACATTATCAAGCTCTATCAGGTAAGAGGTCAGCTTTGAAGCACGGCGTGCGGATGAGATATGCCTGTCCTCTTGCATTTGATTTTGCATGAAGTGTTTCTGAACTGAAAGAGTTTTTGGAGACTACAGTTCATTTAAAGTGGGGGTTTTGTTCGTTTAAAGTTATCGTTCTGGTACGCTTGTCAGGTTCTTGACAGAACAGTGAAAAAAGACTGAAGTTTGTTTCAGATCAAGGAACAGATTGTCAGAACTTGTAGAGTTAACTTGCCTTTCGAGTTCCTTTGCTGTGTGTTTGGAAGATTGGGACTTCTCGCGTGCTTTTGATATGAGGAGGACTTAAACCCTCTTAGGACAGCAGAGTAGCAGGCACAGAAGCTGGGCTTGCCATAAGTGAAAGCAAATTCAACAACAAATAAACTCAATCAAAAAGAAAAAAAACTTGGAAATATCGATATCGTAGAATATGTGAGGAAATGACCCGTTTTGGTTATTCTGTCCCAGTTCCCATAGTTCTTTTAAACTTATTTTCAGATCTTTTCCTTTGTGGAGTTTCAGGGTATGAATTTTGATTTGGATTCATTCAGTTTCAGCTCTCTTGCATTTGCTTTTTTAAGGATATTAGAACAGTAAAAGTAAGCTTCTCCACAAACGTGTTGTGCAGCAGGCAGGGTGGCAGCTGCCTAATGAGCGAGGGCTGCCTTGCAAATTTGGAATCTTGGATCCAATTAGCGTTTGGTGTATGTTCCTTTAATCATCTTAAATAGCACCATACGGATTTAAGAAGATGAGGTATCATGGTCTATCTGCACCTGGCCAGAAGGACAGAGGGGGAGAGGAATGGATTAAGAAATGAAGCAGCAGGTCTGAAATAGTGTGCGCTGTCGTACACGCAACTGTCAAGTTGTTATCTTACCGTTGGGTTGGTTGGCTTAATTAACATTCTCCTTGTTTGAAACGTGTGAGGCTGAGGAGCTTGTAGAACAGGTGTTTAGGCAAGGCATTGTTTTTCAACACCTTGACACGCGTGAATTGCTTTGATGTTTACAGTATTAAACCATCCTAACAAAAATGATTTTTGCGTTACCATCTGACGTCATTGCTGCCCATAGGATATACCAAAGCATTCTAACAGTTCTGTTGATTTCATTTCGGTGGAATGATGTGGGTGAAAATACTGTTTGGAAGCTGTTAGAAAAGCAGGTTAAATTCCATCTAGTTGAACCACTTCACTTGATTGAGCAAATGACGTTGGTAGTGGACCATAATTTCTTTTCAGCAAAGTTTTCTTCTCTTTGTTGCTGTAACTGATGCTTTACCTGTTTGGTGGAGGCTGAGAAGCAGGGATGGAATTAGATGACATACCAATGTAGGGTGTGTGTTCTTGTATTATTTCATCATTGTTTTAGTTTCAGCACAGCGTCTTAATTTCATCCAGCTGGCATCTTTCCCAGAACACTTTCCTTCAGTTTTTTAAACTGGGAACCTCTCTTCCTTTGCTCCCTTCTTGTTTGTTTTCATTTTGTGTCTGTGTGTACTTGTAGAGGGAAGGACAAGAGTCTCCAAAAAAGGTTATGCGTTAGGAAGCTGGAAATTGCAGCCTTTGAAGTAGTATTGACTCTTGTTTGATTGTTAATGTTGCGAGCCTCCTGCTTCCCAAACAAAATATTGATTCCCTGTGAGTCCTATTCCAGGGAAAGGTTATATTTCTGAAAGCTGAAATGTGACACTTAAGAGACGTGGCTTAGTAAATGAAGATGAATTCCAAAATGCTCAGTTTTGTTTGGGTTTAGTTTTGCTTTATTTTTTTCTCTCCAAAGATGTGTCAGCTTCCTCTGACAATTAGCATTTTGCACAGGGTTGGTAGTTGAATGTTGAACAGCCCAGTGACAGCTGTTGATGTGCCTCAAGCACTGCAGTAACAACAACAACTACCTGTTTTCACTCACATGGGAGGCTTGCTGTGCCCCAAGCCAGCACCAAATGGGAGTGGGGTGTTTGGTAACACTTGTTGATTGTCTGAGTACAGGTATCTCCTGATCTGAGTGCATGCTAGCTGTGAAACAAAGATGGCTTTAAGTGAGCTTCGTGTCCTTGTGTGTTCAAAATAAGTCCAATGACTTGGAAAACTGTATATGCATATTTTAACCAAAAAGGGAATTCAGGGAAGTATATAAAATGATGAAATGCTCATCAATTATCTTATGGAGATTACATGGCGTAGTAATGGTAAGAAGAACAATACAATGGGAAGCTATTGTATGTTGCAGGCACGGAAGCATTGATTTGTTATCTCTTTCGTTACCAGTTTGCTGGGAAAGAACATTACAGTGCAAAATTAGGTGTCTTACTGCCAGCTACTGTAGCAAGTAAATAACTGAACTGATATATTTGAGATTAGATTTGGGGAAATGAAAGTAACTACAGAGGTCTGTGTTTCTTTAAGCATGTCCTCTCGTGTCTTGGCAGGTTATGGAGACAAAGGATATGCTTTACATTGTTACTGAGTTTGCTAAGAATGGAGAAATGTTTGGTAAGTTCTCACAGCATTACCTCAAAATTCTTTAGATTTAGAACTCGTGGCCATATTGTCGTCATTCCTGAGTAATATCTGTTTGGATTAAAAACCCAGAGTCGCTGTTGTCAGCTGTCAAACAGCAAGTGCAGCATCTGGAAGACTACAGAATCATTTTCCAGGTATTTCTAAGTCTTGTGCCTCTTTTATTTTGTCTTGCAGATCATCTGACCTCCAATGGGCACTTGAGCGAAAGCGAAGCGCGGAAGAAGTTCTGGCAGATTCTTTCAGCAGTGGAATACTGTCACAGCCACCACATAGTGCACAGGGATCTCAAAACAGAGAACCTTCTGCTAGATGCTAACATGAATATCAAGTTAGCAGGTAATGAGAAATGCCTGGTTACTCTATAAATGGCGTTAGACATGTGGTCAAATTCAGTCACCCTACCATAATCTCATAAACGTATTTGGAGTAACTGAAAGTTAACATTACTGATATTTCTCTGAATATATCCTCTAGACAAAAGAGAATAACTCAAATAGGTATGCAGAAAACAAAGCAAAACACCCGCTTCCTTCCCTCTGTTTTTTGCTACTTCTAAACAGTTTGCGTGTTGCTGAGTGATGTCTTACACCAAACTTCTACCTTCCTTCCAGACTTTGGCTTTGGAAACTTCTACAAGTCAGGAGAGCCACTCTCCACTTGGTGTGGAAGCCCACCCTATGCAGCTCCAGAAGTTTTTGAAGGCAAGGAGTATGAAGGACCTCACCTTGATATATGGGTGAGTATGATATTCCTTTGGAATTCCATTTCACGCTTTGTTATGGACTGCGAGCTTTGAAAACCATTGTTTCTACTGGAATCACTCATACTCTGTGCTGTTCTCTGTTGACAGAGCCTTGGAGTGGTGCTCTATGTCCTTGTCTGTGGTTCTCTGCCTTTTGATGGACCCAATTTACCAACTCTGAGGCAAAGAGTGCTGGAGGGGCGGTTCCGCATCCCATACTTCATGTCTGAAGGTGCTTTGTTTTCGGATTCTTAATGTTAGAAAAGGAACTGAGAGTAAAGGAATAGCTGTCCTGTTCTTTCCTGAGGCAGTGTCCAGATGGTTTTGCAGCTGACAATCACCTTGTCTTTATGTGTCCAGTAATTTCTGCAGGGCAGCACGTAAGATCAGGGGCTGATCATAGATGTTTTCTTTTTCTGAGGTCTACTTTATGGTGTATGTAAAAAGCTATCATTTCATTTCTTAAGAGTACTGCAGAGATTAGATTATAAAAATTGAAGCTCTAGCTGTAGAAATAATCGCTCACAAAAGAGAGAAAACAAGCTTTTAATGAAACTAGCCGGCAGTGTTGAGGTGGGTGTAGTTCTGAGATATTCAAACTATGCAGAAAGGGTATGTTTCAGTGTGGCTTTGCTGCCAAAGAGAGCAGAAATAGTGAAGCTTAGCACTGTTTCTTGAATGCTTGCACTTGGACAGTCTGGTGAGAAAAAGGAGCTGAGAGGTATTATCGGCTCTCTCCGACTGGGATTTGAAAACAAATGAATATGCCTCTCTTCAATGGAATAATATCTTCTAAAGTCTGATCTTGATCTGTTTTAGCTGTGAACGGCTTTGGTTCCCTGGCTAAAAAACAAACAAGCAGTATGCTTGGACCAGGAGTTCATATTTTAATGTGTACAGTAGTTCTTTGTAAATCCTAACCTATTTCAAATGGATGTACCATAGTAAAATCCACTCAAAATTAGCCCCCTTGCAAGGTAGAGGGCAAACTGAAACCTACTTTTAGCCAATACAGTGTCATTTTGTTCAATGACATGTTCCTTCTATAAAATATGTGCTATACTGCTCTTGTGCTGGTTTGGTTATTTAGCAGTCAGACTCTGCATCAGCTGCTCAGAAAACTTTTAATTCCTGTTTTCATAGACATCAAATACTGGTGGTGGGAAAGTTTCTTAGCAAATGCCTGGGGCTGAACTGGCATTTTTACTCCTTGCTCATGAGTTTATCTTTGTCATCTAGACTGTGAAACACTAATCCGACGGATGTTAGTCGTAGACCCAACAAAGCGAATAACCATTTCCCAAATAAAGCAGCACAAGTGGATGCAAGCTGACCCATCTCTTCGACAGCAACAATCCCTGTCCTTCTCCATGCAAAACTATAACTCCAACCTGGGTGACTACAATGAGCAGGTCCTTGGGATCATGCAGACTCTTGGCATTGACAGGCAGAGAACTGTTGAGGTGAGAAGTGCTTGTCCTTTTGAAGTGTTTTCAGTGACTACCAGAACGCCAGTGGTGCATTCATGTAGATTGTTCAGTGACTAGCCTTGATGCAGTTTCACAGTGTAGTAAAATCTTCACTGCCCTTCTGGGTTTTTACTTGTTTTTTTTGAGTACACAATTACTAAGTCTTTAATAATGAGTTGTGGCTGTGTATCTTGAGTTATGTGTAACTAGGATTCTTTGTATTCTAGTCTTTACAGAACAGCAGCTACAACCACTTTGCTGCCATTTATTACCTGCTCTTGGAGCGCCTCAAGGAGTATCGGAGCAGCCAGCTATCGAGTCGTCCAGCAACTGGCTGTCAGCAAAGGCCGAGAAGTTCCGAGATCAGCAATGCTGAGGTAAGGAAGAGGACATTGTTTACCTGGGAGGGTTTATCTGTGGGCTCTTTTCTGCCACTTTCTATGGGAAAATAAGATTGCAGCTTCAAGGCTTCTGAGAACCAATTGTGTCCTTTGATGGGACAGGCTACTATTCTTCAGTAGGGTGCTGATTGATTGAGTACTAGCTGTCTGTAGAGCATGATCCAGAGAATAGTTTGCCTCTGGTGCAAGTCACTAATGAGCCAGAAGTCTAGGCTTCTCATGGAAATTTGTCTTCTCGGGCATGGATCAGTTACCCTTTTGTTATATGCCCTGTAGGATCCTCAGAAATACTCCATGATTCAGGTCGTGTGTTTCTTCTGACTTTTCCTAACCCCTACCCCCTTCTAATTGTGCTCTGATGCCTTTTCAAATTGTCCTGGCGGTTTAATAGTCTGACTTAGGAGAAGTACTTTGTGTTTGTGTTGGCACTGAAAGAGTAGCTTTGTTAATTTTGATAGAAAGTGCATGGAGAAGGCTTGCACAGAAGGTGTCTCTGAAATTCCTTGAGCCTACAATATTTGAAGAATCGCATGGAACAGCAGTGTATGTGATGGCTTCTGTGCATCTCTCTCTGCCTTCAGATGCCTCAGGACAGTCTCACTAGTGAAACCCTGCGATCATCTCTGCTTTACCAGCAACCTCAGAGTCTGATTCAACCATCTTTGCAGGCAGAAATTGACTGTGATGTGAATAATCCATTACAGGTGGGTGTTTTAAGCTGAACTGTGTGTAACTGTGTCTCTTTTGTTGTTGTGGGTTTTTTGTTTATTTTTAAATTGTTCTGTTGATCTAAAAAAGACAGAGGTCGTGACAGTTGTTCTCTCCCTTCAATCTTTTGTTTGGCACTTGGGCATGATGCTGTAGTAGCCTCTCAAACAGTACACCTACTGAGGACATGCCACGGGGCTTTGAAGAGCATTAAAACATAGCGCAGAAATAAATCTCTGAATTGACATGTTTTGCAGCCTGTATTTTTTCCTGTGGATCCCAACTTCAACGGGCTCTTTCGAAATCGCTCCATCTCCCCCAGCAGCCTTCTGGAGACCACCATTAGTGAAGAAGTAAGGCAAGAGAAGGAGCTGGAAGATGAAATCAAGGCATACGACCACCCCATCCGCATCCCTAGCAACACCAGCCGGAGGCATACGCTGGCCGAAGTCACTCACTTCTATCAGCATGCCCCTCCATGTAAGTCTGGGAGCAATGAAGGTCGTCCTTAGTTAGAGGAAAATGATGAAGAAGGTGTGCCATAGCAGAAAAATTCCTGAGGATGTGTGCTGATTTTAACTTGACAGTAGGAAAACCCAGAGAAGTGGTCTCTACTCTGCCCCCTCTAGTTCTGACTTACCATAAATAAGCATGGCCCTTCAGGAAGAGATGCTGTACTGTTATATTTCATCTAGATCTTTTCAGAGCGAGCATTCTCACAAGCAGGACATAACTCTTCTCTGCTTGTTTTTGCTGTTTTACTATGTGTATGGTGTGCATGCTTGACTCTTAAAAAAAAAAAAAAAAAAAGTCATTGCTAACTGTATTGGGTACACATCCAGACCCCTTGAGATAAATAAGCAAACAAAAATGCTCACAAAACAAAAATCTTACGTTGGAACTTTCGTGCTAGAAAACGTTGTGTGTCTGAGAGTTATTGGCAGAGCTCTGCTAGCTGGGCAGAAGCCCAGCGTTGGTTATTTGTCAGTGACCGTGTGCTGGAGTCAGGCCCTTTGACAGCATAAGTTGCTGGACATCTCTCTGACTTGCAGCTGCTTATTAGTGCCAGTGTAGGTGGGCAGAATGCTCTGATGTCACGTTTGTTCCTTCCTGTACTCATCTTGGGAATGCTCTTTCTGTCCTTCCTTCCCCTCTGCAGGTATAGTCATTTCCTCCTCAGCAAGCCCCACAGAGGGAACTAGTTCAGACAGCTGCCTTACTTCATCTTCAAATGACAGCTCAGTGGCCCTGAGCAGCTGTTTGGCAGGTCAAGTAATGACAGGGAGCCCAGCCACAGCTAGGATGACATCACCCTTCCTAGCTTCTCAGTCTGACGCTCCGGTGTTACAAGCCCAGGGCTGCATGGGAGGTGCTTCTCTCCTGCCTGTCAGCTTCCAAGAAGGAAGACGAGCATCTGATACCTCATTAACTCAAGGTAACTCCTTCCTTGCAATATCCCAGCAATAAAGCACCCTTGTAGTTGCCACTAGAAAAGGGTAGCTTTCTTGCCTGTGTCGGGATTACACTGAGGCTGCTTGGATATTCTGCCTTGTGTATTTGTTGTTCCTGAGGAGGGTGCTGAGGTTGGGAGGCTCTCGCGTACTGCTTCAGCATGCCCATGAAGATGTTTCTCCTGCTGTGAGTGGGATGGCAAGCTCCATCCTTCTCCTAAAATACGGAACGCTCATAGTGTTTTATAGCAGCTTTGTCCTTTGCTGTGTATGTGTCCATCTAAACAAGGGTGCAGCTGTCGCAAACCCTGTTCCATCACATCAGTTTTACTCTGTCCATCAGGCAGAGACGCAAAGGTGAACTGAAGGGTCGCGGTTTCTTCTAGTGCAGTGCTCACGTAAATGAAGGCAGCTGCCCAGAAAGGCTGATCTGTAAAGTAGGCTCTCAGTTCAAATGCTAAGAAGGATTAAAGTGCATTTCTTCTCTTCATGTCCCACAGGCTTGAAGGCTTTTAGGCAGCAGCTGCGGAAGAACGCTCGAGCCAAAGGGTTTCTCGGCTTGAATAAAATCAAAGGCTTTGCTCGGCAGGTGTGTCAGTCCTCCTCATCTCGGGCAGCAAGGAGTGCCATGAGCCCTTTCCAACACGCACAGCCGAACACCTGCATCTACAGCAGCAGTGGGAGCAACAGAGAGGGAAGAAACCTTCTGGAAGAAGTACTACAACAGCAGAGGTGAGAAGCTGACCTGGAGGAGCTTTGCTATTTTTCTTGGGGTTGTTTTGGTTAAGGATAAAGGAGGAAGAGTAAATGCAGCAAAATGGGTTGGGGATTCCTTCCCTCTCAACTTTGCTGTGTGGCAGCAGATAAACTGTTTAGCTTCCTTTGTGGGTTCCTGCACTGGCACGTGTAACACAGGGTGTGCATTTCCGCTTAAAAATCTCCATGTCCAAGTATTTGGAGGTCACTGGACAGAGAAGCAGTCTGGTACTGTGGGGGAAAACATTACTTCTCCCCACTGCAAGCTGTGTTTTTCTTTGTTAGGTTTGGGAATGATTTCTTTCCTCTTCTGCCTCCTCCTGTAATTTTCCCATAGCAAGGAAATGAGACCTTGTAATTTGGAAAAGTTACAGCCCACAAAGGAGGCACAGTCCAGTGGCCTCAGATGTCATGTGCGATGGCACCTCTTCATTCCCATAGAACAAAGATGGAAAAGAGAGCATCTGGTTTATCTGCATACATTGTCTGTAAAACATCTAGTATTAGCTGGCCAAATTATGGCCAGATAAAATTCTAGTGTGGGGAATCCAGCTTCAGTGTGGGGAAAAACCAAGAGAAAGCATGCTGATCTGGCACGGCAGTCACTTTAATCGTACTTTCTGGGTAGGGTAAGATTTGTCAGAGAGGAGGAAACGAAGGGGAAAGTTAGGATTGGGGTAAGGGTAGGGGCAGGAGAGAGGAGGAAGGAAAACTTGAACCCTTTCTAGCATTGCAAGTTAACATCTTCCTCCTTGGACTTTGTTCAGAATACTCCAGCTTCAGCATCACCAGCTACTCCAGCCAGCTTGTCCCCAGACATCTCAAACATCTGCGACAAATGGCCTCCCCCCATCTGATAGCGCAGGTACCTGCAAAGCCTCCAATTCTCTTCTGCTGTCAGAGCTACAAAGAGAGAACTCATTTGAGCTGGCCTTTGGTGGCAACAGCCAACTGCTCCAACCTCATTTCTTTGGTGTCAGCGTGTCACCAGTGTCCTCAGCAGCTCACCTCCTAGACACTCACCTGTATATCAGCAGCAACGTCTCTCCGGTTGGCACCACCTTCTCTCAGCAACAGAGTTTCTCTGCTCAGTCTCCGAGTTATGATGCTGTTGCTTTGCAGCATGGGGATTGTGAGATGGAGGACTTGACTTCCAACCAGCTAGGGAAGTTTGTCCTGGTCAAATGAGAGCTCTGGCTGCTACAGCTCACGCTGCTCTTTTTAAAAAGAACTTGCACCACTGTTCCATGGCATGCATAGGTCCGTGGCTGGCTGGTGTTGTGTGGATGAGTGACTCTCAGAAGCAATAAATTTTGAAGTATGTGAAGAGGCTGTCTGGCTCCGAAAGCTAGCAACTTTATAGAACTGAAACAAGCAATATGTATGTCTTTTTGCTTCTACTATTCTTGCACTGAACAAATACGAATAGAAACTGTTTTGTTTTTTTTTTTTTAAAGGAAAAATAATGATGGGGGAAGATGGGTGGGGCATTTGTGGGGACAGGGAGGGATGTGGTTGGGGAAGAAGTCTTCGGTACTGTACTCAAGTCAGACCAATACAGCTCTGCTGTTATGCAAGGTTAGCAGCTGTCAGTAGTGGTGACACAGCAGGGAGAGGCTTTTCAAAGAAGGGACCAGAGCCTCCCTCTTTCACAATATTCATTTATGGGTTTGTGAAGATGATTACCTCTTTTAAAGAAAATAAACAGAAAACCAGTGGCATGCAACATTATGCATTCATGGAAGATAAAAATGGAAGCAATGCCATTTGTGTTTTTTTTTTTCCTCCTGTTAACACTCATTTTGTTTTAAAGGAACCAACATCCCCATTCCGCATCTCCCAGATATGTATACTTTACATGAAAACTGTGAACTTTCTGCTTGATATGTCAGCTAGAAAACCTTTTTTTAGGAAAAAGAAAAGCCAACAACCAAACAGCATTCTAATTAGCACAGAAGCAAGTAATCTCGTGAAAATGCATCCTTTGATATCAGGATCTAAATTACAGACTGTCTGGTCTTCTGCAGGGGTGGTGTGTGTGTGTGTGTGTGCGTAAGCACATGCACACATGCATGTATTCTGTTGGTCTAAATAATCTTTAGGTCTCTTTTTATAAATGCTGAGTTTTTTTGTATTCCTGCAGAGGCACCAAGGAGGGAGCCCTTATTACCTTTGGGGTGATCGGAAGCATTTTCCTTTTCATAAGCCCTCCTGGAGATTGCCTACAGAGCTGTCTGAAGGGTATTTCTTAGTGCTGCACATTGTTATTTCCGCTGCTAATTATGTTTTTATGCATTTCATTATCAGGGTCCAAATAGAACTGACTCTTGGGGAAATGTGCAATATTGAGGTTATAATTATATACTGACAAAGACAAAAGGAATAGGCTAGAACAGAATTCTGCTTTAACAGAGTACAGCTATTTCTGAACAAAACTGTATTAAAAGTGAGTAAAACAGCACAATCTTTGGGTGTTTGTTTTTGGCTGGTTTGTTTTTAGCATATTAGCAAAATGAGGTTTTGGATTAGGTAGGTGTTTTTTTTTTTTTTTGTATGGTTTTTAATGCTGTATATGTATATAAATAGGAAGCAGAAAACTATATAACACTAGTTATTTTTTATATTTTGTAATAAGCTTCTATTGTGTTTCTGGTATAATCCCACCTCCCTCCCAAGGCAGAGCATGACTTCTGTTGGTGTCAATAGAAGATGTGCTTAGGTGTAAAGGGGAGCCCAAGCCATGCCCTTACAGCAGTGAGTGGGGCAGGGCGTTCCAGCTTTGGAAGCAGGTGAGCAAACAGTGAGCCAGTTCAGCTGGAAGTTGCATTCAGGAAATAGCTGCATTTTGTCTAAATGCTTCAAGGACCCATCTCCCTCGTGTGACACAGGGTGCCTTCAAGTTACCTTGGCTTCGTGCAACCTGCAGTATTACGCATTTACAAATAATATAGATACCTGTTTTTTTTTCTTTCTTTCTTTTTTTTTAATTAAAAAAAGCCAAAGATTGACCAGATTAATCGATGGGAGTAGGAATGGTTGAAGATGTCATGTGGCTCTGTCTGTGGCTCTCCATAAACAACCTCTTTATCTGTGTACAGTATCTGTGTGTCTGTACTGGTGCATCTCCAGCTTAACGCTGCTGCTACGTGGTCTGGAAGCTACAACACGAAAGAAAACTGCTTGAGTAGAATATCTGAATGAGCGGTGCCTTGCAGCAGAGAAAACACCAAAGTCTCACTTTAAATTATAGTCATTTAAAAACAAAAAAGCAAACAATAACAACAACAACAAAAACAATAACATGGAGATGCTGGAGAGGAGGATGAGAAGAAGCCAGAATTTCACAAAACAGCAACTTTGCCTTCAGTTTCGTAAGGGGTAGCGCACAGACTGAAAACACAGATTTTTCCTCTTTGGTATTTGTTCTGTTTAAATGCCATGGATCAAAAGGCCACAGATTCTTTTGTTTCCTGTCCTAAGCAATGACGAGCACTTTACTTTCATAGTATTTTTTTTTTTTTTTCCAATTGCTGTAGAACCTCTTTGGATTTCTTGCTGGAGCAGAAAGAGGTCATTTTAAAAAGTTTGGGTTTTTTTTTTTTTTTTTTTGTAGATATCTTGACAGTGCTGTTCTGCAGACTGCAATGCAATAGGGTATTTAAAGACACTACATGATTGGTTTAATTAAGATGTATAGTTTATTTTTTATCATGACTGAACAATCATTTTATTTCTTATGTTAAAATGAGAGATGTACACCAAAATGATTAGTCTGTGTTTTATTTAATATTTAAATAAAAAATGTTTTAAAATCGCTGTCTTGCATATGGTTGGATGGAGTTCTTTCTCCTGCTGCTCTCTGCACTGTAACAGGAGCTCCAGCTCTGCATAGTTAAGACTCATTTTAAAGCTTGAGTCCACAGGACATTACTGGCACTTCCTATTATGTACTAAATGAAGAGGAATGGCTGGCTCAAAAATCTGATAATGGGATATTGAGCCTTTCACTGGTAGGCAATCTGTCTGAATCTAACCCAAGTCTGTAGTAATCGGGTTATAAAATCTGACAGCTAGAGAGGTCTATGGAGTGAAAATGGTCAAGCGTAGTTTAGTCATTACCAGATGAGCAATCCATCCGTGTCACCTTCATCTAAAAGAGGTCTCAACCAGATTAAGGCACTGAGGGGAAAAAAAACTACAGCAAGGGAAGCAGAGGTTCCAGGGGTGATGGTATTTTTCCTTCCAGCTACAAAGACATGTGCAGGGGTACCTGCTGCAGCCATGCTATGCTTCCGCACTGCCTTTACAGCAGGCTGCCTACTTGCAGGCTGCAGCAGGGATGCACTCAACAGACTAAAACTGAAAAACCTCCTGACTTAAATAGAAGATCAGTCTGCTCCCTCAGGAGGTGAGAAAGCAGAGTTAGGAAGCTCACAGGTACTGTCAGAGAGGTGGCTGTTCTGCATGTGTTTTCCTAGGGTTGTGTTTTCAGCATGGCTGCGTCCAAAGTGAGGATTTTCACAACTATGAAAAAACAACAGAGATGCTTTTAATTACTTTTGCCTTGCTTTTATTATGACCCAGCTTAAGAATTACACCAGCTGCTATTTTCACAAGGTTCTCAGGGCACTATTTTAAACCCTAGCAATTCTGTGAAATCTCAGAATGTTGCTTCTTAATGGACAAAAATCAATGCAATTCCACCAGCTTGTGCCAACATAACTGACCCCTGGGTATAGAGGGATCTGACAGCGTCGTGATTTCTTGGAAATGGCAGGGAAAATCAGAACAAAGAAAACGTGGAACTCTGGACTCAGTTTCCATGTGTACACAGTTTCACTCTTGGTGCTTTAGTCACCTCTTCCGGCCTTTCCTCTGACATTTGTCTCTGATCCTGCTTACCATGTTTGGTTTTGTCCTCAATATCTCTCCAGATGCTGCATTGCTTTACTTCATTTCTCACAATACAACTCCATACCTAGTGTTTTCCTCTCTTTTCTTATCTGGAATTGATGCCTTGTTCCCCTCGGGTGGAGCTTTAACACAGCCCCTAAAGTGAACAACCAAACTTTGTTGTTTTGTTTTCTGTGGTTTTTGTTTGTTTGTTTAAAGGAAGTGCTTAGAGCTGGCAGGAGATGCCAGGCTGGTAGCAATAAAAAACACAGTCTGTTTTTCCATAGAGCAAGTCGAGCACAAGTTGCAAGCCCAGTCTTTTGGTGCTACTGTGATCCAGCCATGGGAGAGAGAAGCTCCCCTGCCCCTCTCCTCCTGCCCACTGCCAGGTGAAGCATGACCCGTCCCAGAGCCACGACCTTCCTGCTGTCTGTGCTGTAGGAGGAAGTTTTTCACACAGAGGGTGGTGACACACTGGAACAGGGTGCCCAAGGAGGTTGTGGATGCCCCATGCCCCTCTCTTGAACGGAGGCATTCAGGGCCAGGCTGGATGTGGCTCTGGGCAGCCTGGTCTGGTGGTTGGCAACCCTGCATGTAGCAGGGGGGTTGAAACTACACGATTATTGTGGTTCTTTTCAACCCAATCTGTGGCCAATCTGTGATTCTATCGTTCTATGATCCTGACCTGTGTCAGCTGGAAAAGGAGATGTGTCAGAAAGGAAAGCAGCTGAGCTCACAAAATGATGGTGCATGAGATGGAAAGCGATCGGTGCTTCCGTTTCACTCATCCCGCAAAGTGAGAATAAGGCACACTTCATGCAATGAAGGAGAATTAATTTAAGAACTAATAGAAGGAAATGTGTGCCCCAGGAGGATGCAGCTTCAAGTATGGCTGCTGGCTTATTTCATGGCTGCTAACTACTTTTAGCGGTGACAGTTAAATCAATGATAAAGATAATCCACTGTCATGGTTTATGGATTTAGCAGCGCATCTGTGAGAGATCAAGAAAGAGCTGGTCTTTGGTACAGCCTGCCAGGGGCACGATAGATAGATTTTTGGGACAGAAATGCCTTTCTCCCCAGGCATCAGATATTACTGTGTGCCAAAGACAAAATGTTCACACAGCGTAAACAGACTTGACCACCACCTGCAATATATTCTGGTTTCTTAATATACATTTTATGTCATATATAACATATTAAGCAGTGTCAGTGCCCCAGACCAAAAGCACAGCTAATCAGCTCATTTTAGAGGCAGGCTCCTAGGGAAAGGGCAAGTACAGTGCAATCTCTCTGTGGTATTACCAGCCCAGTAGTGAGTGAACTGCACTTTAAGGAATTTTTGACTGGCATCTGGGTCACTGTGTTCAACAGCTGCAGATGGGTGAAGCCTCCAAGGATTTGGCTAACCCTTTTTGGAATTATTTTGTATTTCTGGCATCCAGAGTGCCTTGTGACAATGAGTGTTATCATTCAATTTTCCATTGTGTGAAAGACTTTTTGTATTAGGCCCACAGTCCTACAGATTGGCTTGTGCTC